TTAGCGGTGTCTGTAATAACTCAGTAACTCAATAAACGGTCTGTGAAAAAAAAAAAAATTCCCAGCGGATGTCTTAGTTACAACATGATTGAGCTAACTGGAGTAGTTTCATGTCGTATCCGACAACGGGAGGCTTTTAACAAATGACGTCCTGATGTTAGCTTTGCTGCTGCTGTTAGCTGTCCCTGTCAGCTGCAGCCACTGATGCTTTCTAGACATCGTGATTTCCCCAAAACTGAATAAATACCACACATAGCAACACAAAACTGCTTTGCTAGCTCAATGTTGTAACTAAGATATCCGCTGGAAAAAGTATTTTTTTCATGGACCATTTATTGAGTTACTGAGTTATTACAGACACCGCTAACAGCTAACAGCTAGCGGTTAGCCCAGCTAATCTACGATAACCATGTTATTAATGACAAAACGTGCACACAAAAATACATCAGCTGCAGTTCCACTCTGCTAGTATCACACTATCACAACCCAATTGTGTATTACACACACATACACATACACACATACACACACAGACTCCTCTACCTCATGGGGTGCAGGTCAAACATGGGCGGCTGTAGCTCAGCCAGCTCTATTGCAGTAATGCCCACAGCCCAGATATCACACAGCTGGTTGTAACCTCCTTTCCTCTCCACTGCTGCTACCTCTGGAGCCATCCTGTGGAGAGACAGAGAGAAGGAGGGCATGAGAAATACTAAGAATAAAACAAGAAAAATTGAAAGAATGGGAGTAAAAAGTCTTGTATTGTTTTTTACAAAGTACCAAATCAGGTTTAACAGCTACACACATGACCAAATGTGAATTTTCTGCAGTATGAGACACAAAAATGCTTTTCATTCCTGGTTTGTTAGGGTTTTGTAAAGGAGTCTGATTCTTCTACAGCTGCCCTAGAAATCGTCAGCTAACGCAATAAATACATGAAACATGTAGGAAACACACTGGTACATCCCTGTTGTATGACCAATTATACCTGGTTCACACTGTATCATTTTAGCCCTGTTTTCCCGCTCACTGACAGTTTTCGGAGCTCTCAGACAAAAGCCCCAATTAGACAGAATTTGGCGTCGCAATTCGGTGCTCTGGCGCTATGTGAACTGTTCAAAGATACAAGCTGAGGGGCTCACTGATGCATCGCAGACGCTCTCCAGATATCTACAATGCTAAACATGTGGACCTGTTGGGGACTTTGTCAGCAAGCTACAGCTAATGAGAGCACAAGACATGGGTTAAGAACACAGACAAGTGGTGCAGCAGTGCTTCGAAAAGTGTGTGAGCCTGTATATTTGACACTGTATGCAATGTTTCTGTAAGTTACTAGCATAATTACTTACTTGGAACTGTGCTTTATCAATTTTTGACTTTGAGCTTTTCTAGTAAGAAACTCCCCCACCAGCCCAAAGTGGTGGTCCGACCCTTGCACCACTTGACATTGAGGATTCCTACTGGTGAAAGGCCTTGCAGTGCTTGTACTGTGTGACCCTGTGTCGCTGGTTAGTCATGTTGCGTGAAAACCACAATGACTTCAAGACTCACGATTACAACACATCGAGTTGTGCAGTGTGAACAGTAGAGCAATCTGATGATTTAAAAGTTGTGTAATGTGAAGTAGCTTTAGGCAAACTCCCTCATATTACCTGACGTCAGATGATTTATTGAATTCTCACATTCTCCCCAACTGATCAAAGGGCTCTAACATCCAGCAGGAAGCTGGATTTTTATACAGTTGTTCTGCCTGCATGGATATCCATACGCAATATCAAGGGAGCTGATGGAGGAAAAACAAGCAACTAACCAGTACGGAGTTCCGATGAATGACTTCCTCTTGGCTAGAGTTGCTGTGATCTGGGCCGATACACCAAAGTCAGCTATGGAGAGAGAAAAGGGGGGGGATAAGAAAAAAAATGAGAATAACATGAAAAGGGAGGATGAAGAAAGGGAGAATGTGATCAGGAAGAAATAAATAAAAAGTGGGAGAGTGGGAACAGAAATGATTGTACGAAGGGGAGGACGGAGAAGAGAGAGAGAAGGAAACCAAGTCAGCAAATGAGGCCATTCAGACTCAGTCTCCTGAAGCAGAAGGTGATTGCAGGAGCTCTGCGTGTTCCACTCACCTAGTTTAACATAGCCATTGTCTGTCAGGAGGATGTTGGCTCCCTGTCAGAGACAAACACGCAGCGCATCAGCATCCAACACAAGTTTCACACTTCAGGTCATTTCAAATTAACTTGAGAGGCACACAGCAGCGCTGTTTGCTGCAAAGTGGTTTGTCATTGATCAACACAGCCTGTAGCTATGAATCAATAATCATTCCCCCGACACAAACACCACAAGCTGTGTCGCAGCAATAATTTAAAGATCAATTATCATTTCAACATCACTGTGTACTCTTCTCCTCATTAACAACATGTTAAATTAATGTTGAGGTGATTTTTGAGGCGTCTGTGTTGCCATTGTGCTGAACTACGCTAGCAATATTCAAACAGGAAGTGACTCGGAAAGGCCTTAATAATTTAAAGTTTTGCTGACATGCATATTTCATACAGTGTTCTCCAAACTCACCTTGATGTCTCTGTGCATTTTGCATTTATTGTGTAGGTAGTACAAACCCTGTAAATAGAATCACAGCAGTTGGTGTTACAGGCGTTTGCAGGAAAAACATAAGCAGTCATGAGATCAAAATGACAACAGGGCACTGAAAAACAGAACACAGCTCAATTTTGAAATATTTGTCAGAGAAGATATTTAGATATGCAATTGCTGGTTAAATGAAAATCAGATGTTTGGGAGACTGGCTCAACTTACAGTTGGCACATCGTGTGTGTCTCTGATAGATGACTGGCTCCAGTGTACAATGTTAAACTCTGCAGTGTTTCCTCTCTAATTTTATGCAGCTGTGGTGCTTTGGGGAGTAGTTCCAGTTTGGTTTCAATATTTGTTTATGTCTAATTTATGTTTCAGTTTGAAGGGATGATATCTAAATTTTAAAATGCACATGTAGAGCACACTTTGGTCTTTGGACTGTAACATACAAATCTAATTTCTTTAATCGCTCATGGTAGTTTTCTGACTTTTAGGGCTGCCCCCGACTAAGACTACTCCTAGTCGTTTAGGCTCATTAGTCGACTAATCACCTGCACGTTTACGATATCAACTTAATTATTAAATGATATATTTTGGTGGTTTGAGTTGAAGGT